CGATTGCGCCTCCCCGCCGTCGGGGCCGGTCGCCCCCGGTCCGCGCTTCACCCCGCCGGTCACAGCTCGCGGGATGCGCGGCAATGCACCGCCCCCCGCCTCCGACCGTGGCGATCTCGCGGGGTAATGCTCCCCCCCGCGCTCGCCCGGATCCTTCGAACAAACAGCAAAAACAAACGCCTCCCCCCACGGGGCCGGGCGTGCGGACTCCTTTCAAGCCGATTCAGGCCCCTCGCGGGGTGCCTGGCCGGCCGATGTTCCTCCGATCTCCAAGATGGGAGCCCCCCTCCGACGGGATGGGGCCCCCTTTGCCCTCTCGCGCCGCGTGGCGCGCTTCCGCCGTCCGCGCCCGCCGGCTCCGAAACCACCTGGCGTGGTTTTCGGTTGGATGCGGGCGATGGCGCCCGCCGAGGCGCCCAGTGAGGCCGCGGGGCCTCCTCCGCCGGATTGCCGGCGGGCTTTCCGGGGCGCTCGTGTCCTCGGGTACGCAGCGTGGGCCCAGGCCGCAGGGATGGCCGGGCGCGGGGCGGCTGTGCGCGCGGTGGGTGCGCGGCGCCGTGCGGCTTGCGGGTGCAGCCGCTGGGAGGCGCGAGGCAGGGGAACAACACGGTTACAGTACAGCATCGGGTGGTCACCCTTTTGGGGCGGCCACCAGCGCGTGTCACGTGACAATGCAGCGCGCTGTATCGTATCATGTCCAGCGATAGTATCTCATCCCCCAATACGGTCCAGGAGAGGGCCCTAAAGTACTAGGTATTCAACTAACCATATCTCCTCAACCGCTAATCCAAGTGGGTCGGTTCAAAAACCTATGGACTCCTAACAGAGTCTACTTTCCCATGAGATATCTTAATCACTGTACACTCCACTTCCCAGAACCCAATTAGAGAGACATTAACCACCCCCTGTAGTTTACACCACACCCTGCACACATAACAAATCCCTCCAATATCTCACCGGCATGGAAGCACTCACTCAGAGGCGAGCCCACAACCCACATCCCCCTCCATGACCCAACCATCATCCCGAACATGACAAATTTCGAATCCCCCTCTACCGCAATGTTACCGATATTAGATTGGCACTAGGACCGCTACCGGCACAGGGAACGGTCATTAGGGTTTGGGGTTTAAGTCTCGAAGTCTTGCGGGGTTTTCAGTTTTTTCAGGGTTTGGGGTTCAGTTGCCAGTCTCGGTCTTGTGTCTGCGCATCGGGAACGCCATCCCTTCCCTCCGCATACGATTCTCAAAAAGAAATACGATTCCGCCCCAAAATGCGTTCCCCAAAGAAATCGGAAGCCGTACAGACCCCCCGCAGCCCCACCGCGCGGAGCACGCACCCCACGCCAAATGCTTGTAAACCCGCTCCCGATCATCGTCCCAGCCTCGCGATCATTGGCCAAAACAGCCACAGCCCCCCCCCGTCCCTCGATCGCCTCCCTCCGGGCCTCCCCCCACCGCCTGGGCCTTCCACACCCGCCCATCCGATCGCGCCGCAGACAGCCTCCCCACGCCCACCCCTCGCCGGAGACGCGGCTCAAAACCCTGCGGACTGCATCCAAGGGCCGCATCGCGGCGCTGGCGGCACGGAGAGAGTGCCTGGGACGGGGCCGAGGGCGCCTGGCCGCCTTTCTCCCCCCCCCCAAGCCCGCCTTGGCCCCGCCGGAGATCGACCAAACAAGCGAGGTGAGGAGAGGCCGTGCGGAACATCCGGGCGGGCGGCCTGCTCTCCTCGGTCACCCCGCCCGTCCGCGCTCCTCGCGGGTGCGCCTCGCACGGCTGCTCCCCGCCCGGGAGATCGGGCCACGTCGAGCCACGACGAGCCGCCGCGGGGCGGCAGCGCGATCTGCGCCCTCCGCGCCCGTCGGCCCCCATTTTCTCTCTTTGACCTCGTTGCTGACCGCATCGCGGCGCCATTTCGCCCCCCACCCCACCCCTCCGACCGCTCCGTGCCGCCTCCGGCCGCGCCCCCCCGGGCTGCGCGGCAGCCGCACGGATGTCCGGCCCGGAATGCCCCTCCGGCCGGCTGCTGGCCGCGCGCTCCGAACCCCTATGCCGTCCCCCTCCCCACCTTCCAAAAAAAGGCGAGGAGATCGCCCCCCCTGCCGCTCAGACTCCTCCTAAGCGGGACCCGCTCACTCCGTCGCCGGCCCAACGATCGCTCAAGGCCGTCTCCAGGCCACATCCCTTCCGAAAATCTCAGCCCGTTGGATGGCGGCCATGAAGTCCTCCGGCCGGCCCGCCCCGCGGCAAGCAGCGGGGTCGATTGGATTGTCTGGACCTGGTTGAGCGGACGCTCGACTGTGAAGGTGGCCGGCAGCGCGCGTGGCGCTTCAGGAGACGCCGTGATTCAAAGCTCGTGACCGCTTTGGCCATTCGGGGGTGGCCTTGCGCGAGAGGGGTCTTGCAGGGCACCCAGCCGGCCTGCCCCACGGCTGGCCGCGGTGCCAGTTTGATTGTCTCCGGCCGGTAAAGTCGATTCGCGGTGAAGGTGAAGGTGACGAGAGCGCTGCGTGGCGCTTTCAGCACGCGCCTTCGCGACATCCACCAAAGAATCTCTACCCGACGAGCCGGGCAGACGCAGCCACCGTCTTCCCACCCCGCGCCGAAGGCCAGAGGGCCAATTGGATTGTCTCCGGCCGGTTGAGTGGACGCCGGCTTGCGAAGTTGATTCGCCGCGTGCGTGGCTCGCAGGGGGGTGCTGTGATTCAAAGCCCGGGGCGCTGTGGCATTTTGAAGGTCCCTCCAGGGGCGACCTCCCGCGAGATGGAACCCCATGATGCGCATGCCGGGCAGTTTGCTCGGCCGTTGGTTGAGGAGGGGGACGCAGATCAAGCAGAAGCGAACGGGGGAGCGGAGGAGAAGGCGGATGGTTCGGCATGCGGCCAGGTGGGCTGGGGGCGGGGGGAGGGCGCTGGCGTGAGTTGCGCCCTTGGGCGGTGCCTCTTGTGGGGCTGTTTGGAGAACGCCTTGCCGGCTTCTGCCCAAGGGGCGGGGGGGCCGGGGGCGGGTGCCTGGGAGGGGACGGCGGGGGGATCCCCGCAGCGTGCTGCTGCCTCGGGGGAGGCACCAATAACATTTTAGATCGCGGCATCTACAGCGGGCTGATTGTGTGACATTGGGGTTCGATGAGCCGCCGTGGGGGCGGAGAATGTGTTAGTCCGTCTGTCTTTTCCGTTAAGATCCCTTCTTCTTCCGCTGACATGGCCAACGCCGGTCAGTGGGTCAGTAGTTTTGGGTTGAGGGTGTCCAAAACAAGAAGTGATCTGCACGGAAAAACAGAGCGACCAATTCCCTCCCGGGTGGGTGGGTGTGCTCACAGCGATGTTCGTGGTGATCGAGATCGCTATGGACGCAGGTTGCAATTGCATACCAGCACATAAATCGATCTAATTGCACAGTCGCGCAGTTGATCAAATTGGTCGCTTTCGTCTGGCGTCAGTCGCTTACTGATGTTCAATTGCCAGTTCTTCGAAGCGTTGTTTCAGATCCAACCGAGTGCTTTTGGGAGGCAAACCAGCGCTTTTCGACGTTTTGATGTATTTCAACGTTTAACGGCTGCAGTTCACAAAGGAGGCACCGGGACCGCATCCCCCTTGCGACCTGCCGTGGCGTACAGCCGCGCCCGATGTGCCGCACGGACCACAATGCAGTGACGATCAAGATTTGGTGATTGGTGACGAGAATGGACAGGCCAGTTGCGGGCCCAACGCCATTGAGGAGCTGCCGAAGTTGAATGGCAAGCCTGTGAACAAATGTGTGCAATGCGGAGCCACAGATACGCCACAATGGAGGAACGGGCCATCGGGTGGGGACCACATGGAGGTTGGAAACATACGTTGTTCTGCTGCGCTGTACTATTGCACTATTGTACTATTGTACTATTGTACTATTGTACTATTGTACTATTGTACTATTGTACTATTGTACTATTGTACTATTGCACTATTGTACTATTGTACTGTGCTGTTGTACTATTGTACTGCACTATTGTACTATTGTGCGATTGCTTTTCTTGTTCATTTCTGTAGAGTATGTGGATTATCTTCATCGAGATGGTGTCATACTGCCTTTACGCCTGCCAGCCTGTGTCAGATGGGCTCACTTGAGAAGGCTTTGGGATTTTGTTCCGTGGTCCATAGATCAGTGGCTGATGTGGTGCGCTCACACACAGACCGACCACCCCGCCCAACCTCCTTGATGGATGCACACTTGTACATTGACTGCACTTGGAAAATCTGCTTGCTGGCCATTCGCCATTAAGGCGACATCCACGTCATGGTGATGTTGTTGAGGAGCTGATGGGTATATGGGCACCATGCTCTGGCTCCTTAATGGACAATTTGATGACCTTCAGAATGAAAACGTGACGTACGCTGCTTCACACAATCTCCATTTGTTTGTTTGCTTGAATTCCTGAAATGAATGCATGGGTATTGTGAGACGTGCTACAGGCATCCTGACCCATGTGTCTGTCCCTCGGTCTGTGCCGGTTCAGGTCCCCGGTCGTTGTGCAATGCTTGTGGGATAAGGATGCACAGGCGGAGCATGAGGGAAGGCGGAGGGAAGCCGCTACGGAAGGTGCATGGGTGTGCTGCCTCCGTTTCTGACTGTTCTTTCTTTTTCTTTTCCCTGTGGTACAAGAAAACACCCTACCAGGGACAAGGCTACAAACATGTATTGTAAAGTACTGTGCTTCATACCATTTTTCCTGCATGGGGCTGTACCTTGGCAACAATAACTCAGACAGTGAAACCCTGCCCATGCTCAGACTCCTTGTCGACTTCTGTGAATGTGGATCCTGAATGCAGTAGTCATCACGATATGGAAAGGCAATCACACTGTGATTATTACAAGAATGTCAATGCGTCCCTGCCCACTAATGCAGGTAACGTTGGTGACAATGATGTCAAAATAATTGTAAATGAATCCACCTCACATCTTTGCTTCCCAGGGCGCCATAAAGAAACGCAAGAACGCTGACCCCCGCCCGTTCTTCCTCTTCCCCCAAGGCCATCTGGGAGCACCCAAGGTGCAGACGACTGTCCCCGCAGTCGCTCACACACAGCTGGCTCTTTCCCGGCCCCCCCTGTCACCACCCAACTTTTCGGTACAAGGTCCTGGATGCGATCCCTACATTCCTGTGAAGGACGTTCATGTGGCCAACGGGAGTGTGCAAGTGGCGCCGAAATCGGATGTTGCCAAAAGGGAGTGCGGCGATGTTATGCCGATGGTTGGCACGGAGGCCCTTGGTGGCGAGACCCAGGTGTGTGGGTTTTGGCCATCCTTGTTGTGCGAATGGGTGGCGCCCGTTCATGCTAAGCAAGGTGGCGGAATTGAATTGCTTTCAATGTGTCCTGAGACTTTGAGAATGGAACCAAGCCATGCAGGTTCGACAGAAACGCATGTGCTTGAACAACACGTCACTCTAGAGTAACTGATCTATTACATAAATTGCATAAATTGTTATCTTTATGTAACAGAACTGTGACATAAATTGGGCTGGACTCCTGAATCAGCGAAAATTTAGACGTTATATTCGTCTCTGTCTTCTTCTCACCCACCCCCTTTGGGCGCAGACGCCTTAGCCTGCCCGCTGTCCCAGAATGCTGCTTGACAACCTTTTCTTATCGCCATGTTTTTGCACTGTACTGATTCTGTATTCACTTCATGCTATCAGTGTGCAACATATGCAACTGTTTGTTGCATGCACTGTGTGATTTTTAGCGCACAGCAAATGACGTAACGACAATCTGTAGCATATTGTCTCTAACCCGCCAGACCTGTAGTACATATCGCCAGAGGTGGACTTGATGCTTTTATTGCTCTTTTCAGTACAACTATTTAGTACTTGTGCTTAGGATTAATCAGTACTAGTAGTTCGTACTAGTAGTATTGATTTTCGCGCACCATCATGCCATTTTCTTGTTAGTTTCGGCTCTTAGTTCGTCTGTTTCTGTGCAGGCACGGCCCTTTGTTGCAGCCCCTCCAACACCGCTCCCTTCCAGAGAGGCTGAGCGCCGTCCCAAGCGGCAGGTGGGAAGGATTGGGCGGACGGCCGGTGGTCCTATATATGTGTTTATGTTTATTTGTGTGTTTACATATGTTCATTCATGCCCGCTGCACCACCACCCTACTGCACGCTGTTTTGTGGCAATCATGTGTAAGTTTTCATGCAGGCGATGCGGTCTGCGGGGCAGATGCGTCATGCAGCAACGTGCCATGATTCTTCGATTTTATGGTGCAGACGCCGTGCTGTACGATATTCGATACTTTTGGTATTTCTTATTCTTAACAAAATGGGCATTTGTATGGGTGTCATAATGGCATTTGATGCGCATATGTTGACAAGGTTCGGTGCGAATTCGTAGTTCAGTATGGTGTGCGATGGCACGTATGTCTCATAGCACATTTTGGCGTCGAGCAGATCTTGGCACACCTGGTTGACGAAACACTAACAGATCCCTGTTTCAGCTAAAGAGGGGATGTGCGCACAAGCATAAGATATACATCTTATATAAGATATACATCTTATATAAGATATAACCGACATGAAACATACACATGAAATATTCGTATGTGCGGTACGGATTACTAATACGCCATTAGCACAATTCGCTATCACTTTCCGTTTCCATGTTTTATTTGGTATAATCGATTCTTCCCAATCAGTTTTGATGCGCTTGTTCTTCATTCCAGGCGGCCCTTGCGTCCAGGGAGACCACCAAGAGGGTGGCCTCCGCGATGAGGAGGCACCCGCGGCAGCAACAACCTCCAAAGTCCCCGGAGCCCAACGAGCGGGTGAGCATTGCTTACTAAATAATAAGCATAAAGCAAGGAGCTGGTGAGTATTGCTCATTAATATTACTGAATAAATCGAGCTGCGGGGAGGCGTGTTCCCGTCCACCAGTCGTACCGATCCACACAGCCATACATTACGAACTTTTTTCAATGATTGGGCTATTTGAAAATAGCTATGTTCCCATTGGGAAATACTAAGCCTCACTAATCAGCATCTAAGCCTAGCTTCTAAGCATCTAAGCTTTGCTTACTAAGCCTCCATGACCAGTTGGCTACCTTGTTGCTCAAATTTTCATGACGATGATGACTAACCGTCTGCTGCACAGGATGCCCACGACGACGACAGCGCCCGCGCTTCCCCCTCACCCGCGGCCATCCGACCCGACGCCTCGCCCGCGCCGCACCGCCGCACCGCTACCCCCACCCCATCAGCATGCACGCAAGTCAACGAAAAAGTCAACGCCAAAGTCAACGAAAAGGTCGACGAAAAAGTCAAGGACCCGCTAGCCGGGTTCAGGCGAATGGCCGAGGTGACCGAGGTGGACGCGGCGATCCAGCTGATGGCGCTGTGCCGGGCGCCACCAGATGGTCCCCAGGGACCGCCGGGCGGGCCCATGGGACCGACGCCGGATTGCGGCGCCGGATCGCACGGATCGGCAGGATCTGGGGATGGCCCCTTTTTCGATTTCCAAAAAGGTATCGATGGGGAGGTGGGCGGCGGGTTGGGCGAGGTGGAGTGCATGTACACAGAGGTGGTGAGGGCGGAGTGGGAGTGGCAGGCCGCAGAGAAGGCCGTGCAGGCGGTGGCCAAGGTTGGTTGCTCAAATCCCTGAATTACATCTGTCACACACACTGGACAGAGCCCTTGCGCCTTGTAGTCGATGTTGGACTTGATTTCAAGCAAGCTTTTTGTTTGCGTATCGATGCTTGTTCACTCCCACACAGAAGGCGGCGCAACACTGGGACATTTGCAAGTTTTGCTGTTTCTTTGCTGCAACGATTGCCATGCTTCCTAACTTTTCCGTCAACTTAGTTCTCTATCTGTTGTGTATTGTTTGTCTGCGGATCATCTGTAAAGGTGATGGGCTTTGAATGCCAGATTGACCTGACATTGTTGTCTGTGACTTCATCTATTCATCATCTATTTATTCATTCGTTCCTCTGTGTAGCTGTTCACTGTTGTTCATTCATTCGCTCGTAATTCATTCATCGAGCTGTGTTATCGGATGCAGAACTCGATTCTGCAGCGCTGTTTCTGTGACTTCGGAAACTGTGATGACGAGTAAGATTTCCAATAGCGCGCAAGCGCAACGAAGTATATACAGTAAGTATCTATACTTTGCGTATATATATCTGCATATATTGAGTACATATGTCCTATCCCAAGATATCCCAAGTATTACGCAAGCATGCTGATGCAATTGTTGCGGGCAGTCCCTGGCGTCCTTAACCGCGGAGGCCGCCCAGGCCAGGAAGCGCTACCGTGACCTGTCGGGGATGCTCCAGAGGCGCTCTCGAAACAAGCAGCTCAGGGCTCCCCAGTGGGCGGGGGCCCCCGGGCCCAAGTCCGGCCTGGGACCTGCCACTGAGACGGGTGAAGGCAACAAATCCAAGCCACATGAGTTTGCTCGTCGCTGCGGCGCCAACAGAGGAAGTTGAATCTAAGTTTGAAGTCGGGTTTATATTTGAATTTAACTTTCAGTTTGAATTCGAATTTGGACTTGGATATAAATTGGGACTTGAATTTGAATTTGAATTTGGATTTGCATTTGGATTTAAAGTCGAAGTTGCTGTCCGTTGCGGGAAAACCTTGGGACGGGAGACAGCGGGGCCGATTCAGAGGCAACAAAGGAGACGGCTGTCAACGAAGCTGGTTGAAGTAGTTGTTTGGGTCTGTCAACTGAAATGCATGGCGTTGTATGTGGCGTGTACATATGGCGCATATGTATGGCGTTGATGGGCACGCGGTTGCAGGCGAGCGCGTTGATCGAAATTTCCCTCAGGCGCTTTTGTCACATGTTGCTAAAACGCAGCTGGGCTGCGCACACGGCATCGGCGCCTAAGTGCCGTAGAAACGCAAGTGGCGGGAAATTAAGTCTTTCATTCTTGAATTTATTTAATGCCATTTATAGCCCCCCAGTTTTTATTACTTCATCGAGTCGGGGTTGGGATCGTGAATGGGTTCCAGTACTATGGGTCGCCCTGTGGCGGGTTTCTTTTGAAGACCGATAGCGGAGGAAATGGAATGGAATGGTGACGGGCATAGTTGAGGACTCGTTGAATTTTATGGAGTTGGGAGCGAAGATGGGAAAACGAACAGTTGTTGAAATGTAAATTGAGCGAATTCATAACGTGCGTTGGGTGGCAGGAGTTCTCATTTTCACTAATAATCTAATAGACGAATATATGATACACTAATGTGTAATAACCGTACATCAATAAACTAATGTATAGTACACTAATACACTCATTTTTACTTGGATTGAAACCAAAAAAGTCAATTGAAGGTAACAAATCAATGCAGGAAGTTGTATTGCTAAGCATTAGTATGATATCAGTTGGCTCCGTTATTGAAACAGATTCGCTAGCTGGGGGTAATCCTCAATTGAAATTTTTCGCGTTGGTGAATTCATGGCTTCCACTACAGACATAAAGTGTTAATGATGCCCATGACAAATTGATTGTCGACTTTAAATCGCATGGGGATTCGTCGGTGCTTCCCCATTATAACCAAATTATCGCCTGGTGGGTCGGTCACGATCTGGGCGGAGGATGGCTTCAATTGCAAGTTTTTTTTCGTTTTCTTGCCCCGGATGAGCTGGCCTGCGCACGCCGCCGCTGCACGAAAATGTACTATAATTTGTCCCCCCTATTCCCCTTGCATATTTTTTTACTTTCGTCGTTTCAATTGGCACAGAAAATAAAGAAAAAACACTCTGGCAGCGGGTCCTGATGACCTGACGACGATAGCCTGAAATTGGAACGGTGCAGAAGCAGGGAGTTAGAGTTGGTTTAGGAATGCTTTGTAAAGTCGGAATGTACAAAGTCAGAATTCCTTTCTACCTCCAGTTCCTTAATCGCAGCGCACAGGTCGATCCACCCATCTGTTGATGGCGCACAAGCGCACGCTCTCTTCTCCAATCGTCAGCAAAGGAATTTAGTGACGTCAGCGAGTCCTGTGCACAGGAGAAAGGACAGAAGAACTGTAGATAGGAATGACTTGTCCAGGTTAGAATCCTTTGAGGCCACCTTTTATTGCCAGCGTTTAAACCGTAGTCCTGCGGTCGATCGATCGGATCGCGCCCAGACGAGCGAACTGAACCCAAGTTGCCCGCAAAGGCTCTTGGCGGATGAACAGGAAGAACAGAGACAAAGCCGACTTAAGTATAGGAAAAAAGTAGCAATATTCCTACTCAGTTTTACTATTTAGTAATAGAACAGGAACATAATGGGAGTAACTTATTTACCCGCCAGCCCCATCACCGCAATCCCGATCAATCGCCCCCAGGCACGCGAGCCCCAGCACCCATCCTCATCCCCCCTAAAGCCCCCACGCCATGGCTGCCCTTGCGTAGGGGGGGTGTCCTCTTGCATGCCCTGCTTCGCTCCCTTTTCGCAGCAAGTTTTGCACCAGCGCCATGGCGCACTCCACGGCAGATCTGAACGCCGCCCTGGCCGCCGTGCGCCAGAATCTGGACGCCCTCTTGGACGGCGTCCGGTCGGAGATCGCCCACGCCGCCGATGTGAGGCAGCAGGCCGCGGACTGCAAGTCGGCGCGGGAGGGCATCGAGAGGGAAGCGGCCGCTGCGGTCGAGGAGCTGGCGGAGGCGGCGGGGAGGGAGGCGGACCTGGCGGTGCTGGTGGAGAGCGCCAGGGAGGAGCGGGGGAAGGAGGGAGAGCTGGCGGCAGGCCTCGAGGTGGGTTTGAAATCTTTGCCGCTTCTTTTAAGGTGCGTGGCATGTCGTGAAGATGTGGTGCAGCTCAAACACCGTAAAGAGCTAAAAAATTCCCTCCCTCGAAAGGTGGTTTGAAGGAGGTTTACGCCCTTAACCCGGTTTTTGAGGTACGGGGACGCGTGGAGCGTGGAGTTCTAGTTTGGCGTAAGCTGCTGTGGCGATCCCAAGTTGGATCCGCGCTTCGGGATCGGTGTCATGCAAGGACATGTTTTTTGGCTGAAGTTTTTTGGCTTCAGTTGGACAGGGAGCTTGAGGCAAATTTTGAAATGTTGCATACACAACCGACACAACCGACACTCAGCCTTTTTGCAACATTGAAGCCCGGCCCGATGGACCTGCAGCAGCCGGCCATACGGGCATGACGGGATCGGGTTAGCTGCAGGACCGCGTGCGGGGCGCGCTCAAGATTCCCATCTGAGATGGCAAGTTGCGGGTTGGAAAGAAGTCCCGCTTCTAAAACTTCTGAAGCTTTGAAATCCGGAGGGAGGCGTGGATTTGTGGCTGCGGGGAATGAATGAATAAATCCCTGCATGTTAACCCATACTCGGATTAGCATTGTACTTATTGTTACGTGTTGTAGCAATTGCATCAGCGGACCCTGCTCAGCGCTTCCACGCAGCGGTGAGGTAGCGCGTCGGCCTGTAAAGTCCAATCCCGTGGTTATGTTCCAACCTGCAATGGCATGGTCACTGTATTGGTGGGATTCCTGGCGCCTCCGCAGCCCCGTGAGCCCCGCGGCCATGTGCGATCGGTCAGAGCGTGCGGCTGTATTCTAATTTACGATCGCATTAGTAGGGAGCAGAGGCCGCATGAGTGCAGAGGCAGCTGTCACATCACTCCGGGGTGGCGGTGCCGGTCTGTCACATCCCCTAATCCGGGGCTGACGCGCGAAATGTGACCGCAGGAGGAGCGATCGCGTGACGCCGTGGCATCGCAGTTCCACATTGGTTTGTCAGAGCCAACCTTTCCGCATAGCAACGTAACGCTCAGTATTTTTGCAGAGAAACAGTAAGAATGAATGATGCTCTTGCAACAAAATTTTTGAGGAGAAACACCAAGCGAAATGCAAAGAACGCTTTTAAAAAAATGCGGAGCGAAAATCGCGATGGCAAAACAGTTTGATGCGAAAGGTTTGGATACGGTACGGCAATCTTTTTTCCATCGATTCTTGCGTTGCGGGGAAGGAGGCGGATGAGGTCGTTTGCTTGCGATTGGCTTCGAAAGGAAGAGCGGCGGCCTTGATCCTCTAAGATGATGGCATCCGTGCATGCGGCCAATCAGGCTTGTTATTTACGGCGCAAATACTCTTTATTCACGCCGGTTTACGAGCAAAAATAGCTTTAACGATTTTACACGTACATGGACGTAACTATGAGTAAAATGATCGCTGTGTACATAAAGACAGTACATACAGACTCTGGGAGTCCGAGGAGTGGGAGCCAGGCGCGCTAGAGTGGCCAGGACACAGCATTTTCACTAGCATAAAACGGCATGCTTGCGATGCCAACTGCAATGCCATTTTGACACAAAGTGATGCCGTCACAGTGATTGCGACGGCATAAAACCGGCTGCGATGGCGTCAATTTGTGTCAAGTTGCGTCACAATTGGCATCGCAAACAGGCTGTTTTCTAATGGTGTTTGTTCGACTACATCGTTGCCCTTGCAGAGGGCGAGCTGGAATCTGTGTGTTCCACATGCTCGAGGGGGGGGGGGGGGGGGGGGGAGTAGGGAGGATTGGACATTTTTTGCAACATCAGCATGTATCATGTGCGTGCAGACCAGCGGCATACACACTAAACGTAAAAGTGATGCCAAGAACGCAGAGTTTTGGACAGGGCCTCGCTGACTTTGCTGAATGGTGGTTGGATTCGAGGCGCGGGGTTTGACATTCGGTGGGGTGCGTGGTTTTGTGAGTGCGGGAAGGTGGGTGGCTGAAATCTACTGTTTGAAATTAGACCCGGAAAGGGAAGAGGCGCTCTGTGGGTGGCAAAGGATGGCGGGCGGCTGTGCGTCCGGGAACCCCCTCTATGGCCCTCATCTGTCTTTGACACACGGAGCTTGAAATTGGGAGCTGCGCGGTGTTTCTGGAGCGCAACGAGGAGCCTGTGGTCGGTGGTGCTTGTGGTGTTCGGAATCTGGAGTAGTTGCGTGACGGGATTCTGCATGCGAAAGAAGGAGGATGTTGTGGCCGTGCCAATGTGAAGCTCACAGTGTGGGGCTTGAGATCGCTGGCCGCTGTGATTGGAGGCGGGAGCGACGTCTCTGGGAGGGGGTCGACGGGGCTTGTGCCGTAGTGGGTTCCACCCTTCCACATCAGAAAAACTAGAGCTACGCTTTTGCTCCAGATTTTTCCAAAGCTTCGTTGTATTTCTTTTACGGTGCACCGCAACAATTTTATTGAAAGATATTTACTATTTATTGTTTCTCTGCAAAATCAGGCCAAGGGTTACGCTGCTATGCGGAAGGGCTGAATATACTACGGTCACCGCACAGACTGCAGCACTTCAATACTTCGAGGCGCCGACTCAGATCTAGTATTGTAGTTGCTTTTGGGCTGCTTTTCAGGCCCTGCGGCACATTGCCGATTCGGATGCATTGCTGCCCATCCAAAGCGGTTTGCTTCCGAAGCAAGTACTATGGAAATAAATAGTCCAAATAAGTAGCAAATGTTAAAACAGGCACAAGCAAAGACTGTCAAGCAATGAGACTTGAACCACTCTTCCCAAGAATATGGGTCGAACGCAAGCGCTTCAGCCACCCAAGGATTGGGTCACCTTTCCCCACCTCCCTCACTTTCGTCCCAACGTGATATTCAGCCTCCAAACGCTTGCATTCTTGTTACAGTCTCATGAGCGGATGGCGGCACCCACGCCTGCTGAAGCGTGAGCAGCTTGCAGCCGGAAGCGCACTTACTTGGCTGACTCAGCGTTCTAACTTTGCTGCAGCGGGAGGTCCGCGAGCTCCGGGAGACCCTGTGTGCCAAAGCGACGGAATTTTGGGACGAATGCGGCGCTTTCCACGAGTCGATGCGGCCGCGGAGCCTTAAGCACCGAGAGGCGGAACTTGAGGGGGAGAAGAGCGCGCTGCGGCGCAAGATCGACGCTCTGCGCGCCTCGAAGTCGCGGCGAGAGGCGAGGGAGGGGGCCCTCAGGCGGCAAGTCGAGCAGGAGGCTCAGAGGCTCCAGGAATTGGGCGAAATTCTCCAAGGCGCGTAACGCGGTTTGCCTTTTGGGAAAATATATGCCAATTCAATTGGTTCAACTTGAAAAATGGCCCTTTTTTCATTGCGATGCATGGCTATTGACTACTTCTTGGAATCCGGATCCAACAACTGGTCAATATTCATAGGTCGTAATGACAACAGTTGGGCGTTTGTAGTGCTTTGGAAACATGCACAATAATGCGAACTTTTCCAGATATGCCCCCCTGATGCTCAATCAGTTTGCTGATCTTTTCACACCCTGCGAAATAGGCAGTAGCAAGCAATGAACATCTTTGTTTGTAGGCAGGCTCTTCGCTTTAAAATAGTTGAAGCCCAACGCACTATGCAATAAGTATATGATATGGAATACACAACACACAACAAAATTGCGCAATATGTGAGTGTGGTCTTGGATACACCAAAACCTGCCCTCAAATTTGCACCGATTGCACCGTTGTGCACCAACTTCCAAGCAATTATAAGTACCATAATGGGCGTAAGATTGAGCTTCCCCATCATTGCCACTATACTGATGTCAGGCATGAAAGCTGAAGCATGTGTGGAGGCTCAGCGCGGCACGGCGCTCCTCTCTGACATGGACGCGCTGGAGAAGAGCGCTGACGAAAACGCCCGCCGCCTAGAGCTGCAACTTGAGGATGTGAAAGAGGAAGCGCTACACGCAGAATATTGGTGAGCCAACCCGAGCAGTCCACAGTACTTAGTACATGGTGATGATCAGTACTTAGTGGCAATCGCTGACTGTTCAAGGAATCTGGTGAATGTTTAAGAACGGTAACACGTGCGTTGGCCAATATTTACATGCTGGTCCAAGCGCACCTAGACGAAATTGAAGTTCCTAAAGTATGAACGCATTTCGCGTTGTTTTCGCACTTATCTCTGAAAACATTTTTTTATGAGTTCATTAATCACCACTCGCACATTTTAGAACAAATACAACGGATTCTTCATGACATGGATTCGGCTTGAACTCTGACTGCATACAGAGCTCACATGTGCACAATTAATCTATGCTATGATTGAATTGATTGCTTTTAATATACTTCTTTTCGATAATAGTGTACATACAAGCATGTCTATAATCACGCACCACAAAGAATCAGTGCCTAACACCACAGATTGATGGAAAAATACCTCACCGACTTTGTCCAAACGATTCTGCATCAACACATTGTCTCTGTTGAAACCCAGGCCGGCATGTTTCTCGTCACGATGGGAAACAGCTGCGCAATTTTTGGTCCTTATTTGTAGCGCAACTAATGATCGCAAACTACCGAAAATGTTTCGCAGTAACGTTACGACCACATGGGTGCTTCGAATATGAGCTTCATGTCCACTAGGCAGAAAAGGAACAAATAAAACTTTTTGCGAACACAGATATATGCATTTCATCGGTTTGGGGCATGCTAAAAACACGAAAATAAACCAAACCCGTAAACTACGTACACGTTCGAACACGTGTTATTTGTGCCTTTTCTTCCTAGTGGTCAGTGTTTGATGTTTTGATCGTGATCAGGTGTGTGATCTTGTTTGCACGTGGCGCAGCTTGGCAGCTGTCGATGCTGAGGTAAAGCAAACGCAAGGGGAAATCGTCCAATTGCGGCAGAATGGCTGCGAGAAGGTGCGCTTGTGCAAGTGGCATCGCAATGAAACTACGGTGCTCCTCTGGAGCAACCCGAACCTGGGTGCTGTTCGTATGGAAAACGCAGCACAATGTACGATAATTCGTACTTGTTATGCATGAGAATGATGGATTGAAATGAAATTTCCAATATTTGGTGATAGTATTTGCCCGGAAATGGAAATAAAAGCCAAATTATTTTGTGCTTGTGTTGCTGCCACGTTAATTGCAACGAATTCTGGCGCTGCAATGAACAATACACGCTGAAAAGCGATGACAACTTATTCTGTCACAGAGCGTTAATGCATCCAGTGATTTGAGGGAAATTTATCGAAGGAAAAGCCAACCAAACAATGAGCACCTAAATTTACGCATGCTCAACCCGTTTGAGTTCATATTGTATTTCGGCGTATTGAATTTTACATAAGCCAGCCGACTGAGCTCAACAGGCGAAGAAGTTGGAAAAGCTCAATGAGGCAGTGGAGGCCCTGGTGGCCAACAGCCGCGCCCAATGGACATCCAGCGAGGCGGCGGCGCACGACCGGCAGAAGCAAGGTGCGGCAATCGTGGCTTTACCTGCAGCGCCTCTTCCAAGCAATCGGAATATCGTTTCTACGGATGTGGCCACGAACCGCTCGCCAGTTCCAGCGGGAGTGGAACCACTGGCAACAGTCCAACAGGTGAATGCCTTGCCCTCAGTGAATTCAAAAATTGTTGGCGAGGGAATTAAAATAATTTAAGAAAATGAGCAAAGGAGTGCTTGCTCATCAAGATAATAGCAAATGAATAAGTGCTGGAACGAATGCACTGATGCACTGCAAACTACTGTTGCTTCAACTCTTGCGCATAAAAGTTCCGTACTCATTGGTGTTGCTGATGCCGTTGATGCTGTAGGGCTAGAATTTCATATTTATAAAGTGCGTTGCTTTAGTAGCCAAGGCATCAAAGCTAGTGCCATTGGGACCAGGTGCATGAGCATCGCTGCAATCTTCTTAGCAGTGCATCAGAAAACGTGTTGCAGCAGCGGCTGCGAGTGTTACCTGAATGACATATTTCAGTTCAGGATATAAATTCTGATCATTATATTGTTGAATCCAAGGTTCGACATAGCAGCACAATCATTCAAAGTTTTTCATTAAACCGGGTTTCACTCCTACTATCACAGCATTTACGGAGTTTGATAGCAGTGGATTTCACAGAATTCAGGACTCCGTATACAGATTTTCTTCCACCTGCTCATGTTGTTGCTCAGTAACGCATCACCTTTTGTTGAAAGCACAATTTGAGGTCAGGGATTTCATTTCATCCGTATTTTCTGCCTTCAGGAGACAGCGGTTGTCAGAAAGCCTGCCGCCGCAGGTATCTTTCAGGCCAGTGAGAAGCTGCCTTATCGGGTGGAAGAGCCGGAGGACGAGGGTGCCAACCCAGGTGAGGAAAGATAAACCACCGGTCGATTGGTACCTACATTTGACTAACATTTGCGTTCATTATCTGATATTCAATGATTTCTCCGTCCATTACTAAATGCACTATATTCGGCGTAAAAAACTTGCTATAAGCGCGGCTTGAAGTATACAAAAGAAGTAATAATTGAAATATTGAAAAGAAGGTGCTGTGTCAACAACTTCGCATTTATCCAATACAACATACCAATATCGAAATAAGGATACTTCATGTCTCTTGGTCTTTCGACCACCCTAACTAAAAAAGGGCCAAATTACACGTGTTCGAAATTTGCGGGACCAGAATTTACGGGTTCGGGTAATTTTGGGTTGTAGCATGCAGAACACTGATGAAATGCATATATATATATAGTAATATATAGTATAGAAACATGTGTATAGCAGTAACGTAAATACAGAAGTATGTATGAAAGTACGGAAATGTACAGTGCGTGCAGAACACCAGGAAAACGACGGCAGGCTTGGGCCGAAGCTCGGCTTCAACAGCGCCAGGGAGGGAAGGCTCAAAACGTTCTGGACAATTGAGAAAACGACCGTGACGACGACGGAGGTGGCTGTGGGCCGAGGTGCCCATCGCAGCCGGAGGACCAGGGGGTCCACTCGAGGCGGTGGCAGCCGCGCATGGAAGCAGTGTCCCCCTCCAGCCGCCAAGGCTGCAGCTGCATCAGGTTCGGACAGTTGAGCCAGCGGTATAAGTCCTTGCACAAGTTTTTCAACATTGCGCAATCCTTCATATGCTCATTATTTCACCTTTGCGTATATCAGCAATGAAGGAGACACACGATGAAGGACATATCCTTCATAGTGCATCCTTCGCCCTATGTATGCATGGGGCATTCAATGCTGAGATCCTCGTTTGTAATATGACTACCAATTTGATAGCCATACGGCTGGTAATATCAACGATAAACTGATGTTGATAAATTCTCCTCACGAAAGGCAACACTGCATCAGCCGCTCAGCCGACGGGCGCCGAGCACGTCCAGCGATGCATGCGGTGATGGCTCAACGTCAAACATGCACTTTGAAGCGACAAATTTGTCTGTTGCCTGCAAGTATTGCGATACTATAGCAAAGCGCCAAGGCACTTCGGTGGATGCGCGCCGCCCCACATACACTGTGTATATGTTGGCTGTGTCCTGTCAGGGATGTGCGAGAAACTGGCGGTTGTCTTCACCGATGGGATCACTAGGACCCACTTGCATTCAAACTTGTTGTAATCGCCAATAACATGGCCGCGGTGTTTTAGAGGTCACGTGCTAGACCAGTAGCAACGCCACAGCAACACTCCGTGCGCGCATTCTCTGCGAATCACCCGCATTTGCTGCTTGTCTTACTTGCGTTTCCGCCACATACATAGCGTATCTGTGCCGCAATGGCTCATGCTTGAGCACTGCATAATAATTGATCCGCTCAGAGTTGGTGGCACCGCTGATCTGCGTACAAAATATTGTTTTCCCGCGTTGACAGTTGTTGATCAATGTGGACGGTAATATAACGTATAGTGCTATATCGATCGCGTTTCGGCGCCGGTTTCCACCTGCGTTGTTGAAACACAGGCATAGACGCGCAAAGCGCCTTGCAAGGCTGCCAATTGGCTGCCTTGAGAGCGAGAAAGAGAGAGCAACAAATTTGCTGCCTCTTGGGAGAGCATCGGCATGCACTACGGCCAAGCATTTGCTGTACCATGGGCAAGCATCAGTGTGTGTACGGGGAGATTCGCTTGCCCGTCTGTTGTCGTCAACGCAACTGCAACTTAGGGGTTTCTCTGTCGCTTTGAGTACGCAGATTCTCAGAGCCACGCCTTAAATCAAGGGATGCGGCCGCCTGCTGTCCATCAACGTGCCGCACACCGCCAGGGAATGCGGACCTGGGCAGCGCACGCCGAACAGGACAGAACACAATGGCATCCGCCAGACCATGGCGCACCTCAAGTCCCCGATGCCAGCGACGGTTTGTAGATCCTCGGAACACAGTGCACTTCAGGTGGAATGGCAACAAAGCCGGATAAAAAGGCACTAGGCTTTGCATATCGTCCCCACTCATGCCCGATCGGGCTAGCAGATGCGCGCAGTGATGTGCATGAGCCGGGGGGAGCCGAAAACGTGCGCCTGGTTACATCCGGCATTTATGCAATGCAAACGGCCATTGATCGTTAAGTGCCCCTTAAAATGACATAATATATGGGGTGGCGGTGGCTGCCTGATCCTCACGACCTCCAATATTTCTCGATGCTGCACGCTCTCAGCAGGCCGAGTGGCGAGCGGGTAAATGAGCGCATCCGGCACGCAAAAATAGCAAAATGCGTACACGCCTTTCATCGCCTACAAGTTGCAACTTCCCTGCTCTGTCTTCTCAAGGGAAACTTCAAAGGATTGCATCTCTGTGTCAACCATGGAATGTGGGGCATTTCGCTGCAGAGTTGATGGCACCCGGAGGTAGTAGACGGCCAGGCTGTCCGACAAATAAGAGGATAGCTACCTCGAGAAGACCGACAACTGGAGATCCCAAAGGAAAGCGAAAGAAACGTCCTGTCGCCGAAAATATTGCCGCTGAGGTGAACGCTGATTCTGCTGAGGGTGTTCACATTATCATTCAATGTCACAAAAGAGTCAATCGCTTACTGCTAGAAGCAAACGACTGTTGAAAATATTTTTTGCCCATATTACCTACCTCATCATTTTTATCTATCTCATCTAAAGATTGTTGCCATTTTGAACATATTTGAGTCATTAGATGGACGCTAAGTAATATTTAAAGTGATGTTTACTAATCCAGTCAGCGCTCCCAACATCGCCTCTGCGGTGCAAGGGCAGTGTTTTGTCTTGTTTGTGCGACAAATGCAATAAAAGGATTCCGCAGCCAGCCCTCCTGTTTGTTCAAATTTGAAACCTTGAAATCTGCGGCATTGGTCGAAATGACACATTAACAACTGCGCTCATGAATTAACAAGTCGTCCAGCATTATTATGAACGAAAGAGACAATGCAGTCCCCCACAGCAAATCCCCGAACTTTTACATGATTTCTGCATCAGACCAATGGAAGTCGTGGAAAATGAAGAGCGCTATTCTCGTGCTTCTTGGCCACTAGGGCGGACAGCAAGCAGGCGGTCCCGGTGGGCAGCACGACTGCCTGGACATCTGGGGCGGACGTATTCACCGACCTGCCGCCGGCGCATTCCATTCTCGGAAGAGAGCATGAGGGAGGCTGCGCGCCGGGACGTGAGATCCAGCGAACAGTTTCGGTTCCGGCACTGCAGCACGTGGTTAGGGACTTTGGAGGGTCTACCCCGGTGATGCGCGTTGTAAAGCTTTGCACTCGGGATGTCTCGGGATTCTCTGTTGTTGCTCGACAGCAGTTTGTGATGTGGTTGTCTACGCGGACGGCGTACTGATGAAAACGGTCCTCAAGATATGGTTCCAAATCGCCAGCGAAAGAAGAACCAAACAAAAGGTTTGCGAGCACATACAAAACGCATTTCATCAAATTTACGCACGCTAAGAACGAAAAACAACCCAAACCCGTAAACTGCGTGCACCTTTGAACACGTGTTATTTGGCCCTTTTTCCTAGTGAATTGATACCGAAGTCCTATTGGTTTGTTGCACTGCAAGCACAGCACGGATTTGTCCAGTCTAGCAAGGCACGAACTTCGAGTTCAGCATTCCTTTTGGTAAACGATTTTAACATGTGTTTTCTAACTGTATGATTGGAAAACAGACGGAAAAAACCCTCAATGTTGGCCGGTGTCAGAAGATTCGGGGATGCATGGATATGAGCAAGGGAAGACGCTATGTCAATTTCGGTACGCTTAGCTTCAATTTGACGTTAAACTCTTACTCCTCCGACTCCCCCACCCCCTAACCTCCTTAGCGTCAATTTTAATGTGGGAGCCAGGGTGACTCAACAACATTACCCAACAGTGGCTTTCAACTTCCATGTGTTTTAAGAAGGAAAAAAATGAAATTTGTGCTGATTTCAAAGGGGTAAAAAACTGGGTTATAAATACCATTATAGGTGAGGCGGGCAGCCTCAATGGATGCAAATTGACCCACTCTAAAGTCTTCTTTGAAGATCAAGCATCTTGCCGGAGGCTTGGGAAACTGTCACGGGTTGTTTACTGCTTATCCGTGGCGGCTTTGGGCACCTTCCCTCCTTATGTCGATTTTGTGTCAATTGCATAATATCTTGGAGTCGCAGGTCTGGACCCACACCCTCTTGGCGTCAATTTGACCAGAATCATCACAGTGTCTTCCGCAAGGCGGATGCAACGAGTGCAAGATATTTTCCGCATCGTGTTCACACCCCCTCGAATCCAGCAGGGGCGCGTGCCAGGAGGCAATGCCTGTAAACAATATCAAACAAGCTTTCGTGCAAAATGTCGGTAAGGTCCAAATAGGAGCATTTGTGCGCAACGTTGTTGTTATGTGATTATTTTGGCGAAACGGTTGTGCGCAGGACTGGACGTCTGAAAATGGACGTGTTTGTGCGAAATATTGTTGTATTTGAGTACACAACAAACAGGAGAGGGAGCGCGCATTTACAACACACGTTCAGCGATACACAGCACAATCTCAAAAAAGTGGTTACAAAAAAATTACAACACGACGTCCGCTCCCAAGTGGGGAGTCAACACCCACCGACCCTCTCCAAGCAAGCAACCTCCCGCCGCCCTACTATCCGGCCAAGGCCGCCTCGTAAGCTCGTGACTTCCTGAAGCATTCCACGCCACTTCGCCATTCACCTCGCCCGGCCTCACCCCTCTCACCGCCTCACTGCTCACGCCCTCTGCCAAACCACCAGCCCGGGCCGCCCTGTCCCCCTGCACCCGGCGGGTTGGCGGCCGGCATGGCGCGTGCGTGGGCCAAGGCCGGTCGGGAGCATCCCACTGCATATCCACCCCCCCGGGGGGGGCGGAGCGCCCGCCGGCCCTCCGAAAAGCCTCCATGAAAGTGTCAAGGAGGC